GTGTACTGTTACAGCCACGGTGTTGTGTACTGTTACAGCCACATTGTTGTGTACTGGTACAGCCACGGTGTTGTGTACTGTCACAGCCACGGTGTTGTGTACTGTTACAGCCACGGTGTTGTGTACTGTTACAGCCACGGTGTTGTGTACTGTTACAGCCACGGTGTTGTGTACTGTTACAGCCACGGTGTTGTGTACTGTTACAGCCACGGTGTTGTCAACTGTTACAGCCACGGTGTTGTGTACTGTTACAGGCACGGTGTTGTGTACTGTTACAGCCACGGTGTTGTGTACTGTTACAGCCACGGTGTTGTGTACTGTTACAGCCACGGTGTTGTGTACTGTTACAGCCACGGTGTTGTGTACTGTTACAGCCACGGTGTTGTCAACTGTTACAGCCACGGTGTTGTGTACTGTTACAGGCACGGTGTTGTGTACTGTTACAGCCACGGTGTTGTGTACTGTTACAGCCACGGTGTTGTGTACTGTTACAGCCACGGTGTTGTGTACTGTTACAGCCACGGTGTTGTGTACTGTTACAGCCACGGTGTTGTCAACTGTTACAGCCACGGTGTTGTGTACTGTTACAGGCACGGTGTTGTGTACTGTTACAGCCACGGTGTTGTCAACTGTTACAGCCACGGTGTTGTCAACTGTTACAGCCACGGTGTTGTGTACTGTTACAGCCACGGTGTTGTGTACTGTTACAGCCACGGTGTTGTCAACTGTTACAGCCACGGTGTTGTGTACTGTTACAGGCACGGTGTTGTGTACTGTTACAGCCACGGTGTTGTCAACTGTTACAGCCACGGTGTTGTCAACTGTTACAGCCACGGTGTTGTCAACTGTTACAGCCGCGGTGTTGTCAACTGTTACAGCCACGGTGTTGTGTACTGTTACAGGCACGGTGTTTGTGTACTGTTACAGGCACGGTGTTGTGTACTGTTACAGGCACGGTGTTGTGTACTGTTACAGGCACGGTGTTGTGTACTGTTACAGGCACGGTGTTGTGTACTGTTACAGCCACGGTGTTGTGTACTGTTACAGCCACGGTGTTGTGTACTGTTACAGCCGCGGTGTTGTGTACTGTTACAGCCACGGTGTTGTGTACTGTTACAGGCACGGTGTTGTGTACTGTTACAGCCACGGTGTTGTGTACTGTTACAGCCGCGGTGTTGTGTACTGTTACAGCCACGGTGTTGTGTACTGTTACAGGCACGGTGTTGTGTACTGTTACAGCCACGGTGTTGTGTACTGTTACAGCCACGGTGTTGTGTACTGTTACAGCCACGGTGTTGTGTACTGTTACAGCCGCGGTGTTGTGTACTGTTACAGCCACGGTGTTGTGTACTGTTACAGGCACGGTGTTGTGTACTGTTACAGCCACGGTGTTGTGTACTGTTACAGGCACGGTGTTGTGTACTGTTACAGCCACGGTGTTGTGTACTGTTACAGCCACGGTGTTGTGTACTGTTACAGGCACGGTGTTGTGTACTGTTACAGCCACGGTGTTGTGTACTGTTACAGCCACGGTGTTGTGTACTGTTACAGGCACGGTGTTGTGTACTGTTACAGCCACGGTGTTGTGTACTGTTACAGGCACGGTGTTGTGTACTGTTACAGCCACGGTGTTGTGTACTGTTACAGCCACGGTGTTGTGTACTGTTACAGGCACGGTGTTGTGTACTGTTACAGCCACGGTGTTGTCAACTGTTACAGCCACGGTGTTGTCAACTGTTACAGGCACGGTGTTGTGTACTGTTACAGCCACGGTGTTGTCAACTGTTACAGCCACGGTGTTGTGTACTGTTACAGCCACGGTGTTGTGTACTGTTACAGCCACGGTGTTGTGTACTGTTACAGGCACGGTGTTGTGTACTGTTACAGCCACGGTGTTGTGTACTGTTACAGCCACGGTGTTGTGTACTGTTACAGCCACGGTGTTTGTCAACTGTTACAGCCACGGTGTTGTCAACTGTTACAGCCACGGTGTTGTGTACTGTTACAGCCACGGTGTTGTGTACTGTTACAGCCACGGTGTTGTCAACTGTTACAGCCACGGTGTTGTGTACTGTTACAGGCACGGTGTTGTGTACTGTTACAGCCACGGTGTTGTCAACTGTTACAGCCACGGTGTTGTCAACTGTTACAGCCACGGTGTTGTCAACTGTTACAGCCGCGGTGTTGTCAACTGTTACAGCCACGGTGTTGTGTACTGTTACAGGCACGGTGTTGTGTACTGTTACAGGCACGGTGTTGTGTACTGTTACAGGCACGGTGTTGTGTACTGTTACAGGCACGGTGTTGTGTACTGTTACAGGCACGGTGTTGTGTACTGTTACAGCCACGGTGTTGTGTACTGTTACAGCCACGGTGTTGTGTACTGTTACAGCCGCGGTGTTGTGTACTGTTACAGCCACGGTGTTGTGTACTGTTACAGGCACGGTGTTGTGTACTGTTACAGCCACGGTGTTGTGTACTGTTACAGCCGCGGTGTTGTGTACTGTTACAGCCACGGTGTTGTGTACTGTTACAGGCACGGTGTTGTGTACTGTTACAGCCACGGTGTTGTGTACTGTTACAGCCACGTGTTGTGTACTGTTACAGCCACGGTGTTGTGTACTGTTACAGCCGCGGTGTTGTGTGTACTGTTACAGCCACGGTGTTGTGTACTGTTACAGGCACGGTGTTGTGTACTGTTACAGCCACGGTGTTGTGTACTGTTACAGGCACGGTGTTGTGTACTGTTACAGCCACGGTGTTGTGTACTGTTACAGCCACGGTGTTGTGTACTGTTACAGGCACGGTGTTGTGTACTGTTACAGCCACGGTGTTGTGTACTGTTACAGCCACGGTGTTGTGTACTGTTACAGGCACGGTGTTGTGTACTGTTACAGCCACGGTGTTGTGTACTGTTACAGGCACGGTGTTGTGTACTGTTACAGCCACGGTGTTGTGTACTGTTACAGCCACGGTGTTGTGTACTGTTACAGGCACGGTGTTGTGTACTGTTACAGCCACGGTGTTGTCAACTGTTACAGCCACGGTGTTGTCAACTGTTACAGGCACGGTGTTGTGTACTGTTACAGCCACGGTGTTGTCAACTGTTACAGCCACGGTGTTGTGTACTGTTACAGCCACGGTGTTGTGTACTGTTACAGCCACGGTGTTGTGTACTGTTACAGGCACGGTGTTGTGTACTGTTACAGCCACGGTGTTGTGTACTGTTACAGCCACGGTGTTGTGTACTGTTACAGCCACGGTGTTGTCAACTGTTACAGGCACGGTGTTGTGTACTGTTACAGCCACGGTGTTGTGTACTGTTACAGCCACGGTGTTGTGTACTGTTACAGCCACGGTGTTGTGTACTGTTACAGCCACGGTGTTGTGTACTGTTACAGCCACGGTGTTGTGTACTGTTGCAGCCACGGTGTTGTGTACTGTTACAGCCACGGTATTGTGTACTGTTGCAGCCACGGTGTTGTGTACTGTTACAGCCACGGTGTTGTGTACTGTTACAGCCACGGTGTTGTGTACTGTTACAGGCACGGTGTTGTGTACTGTTACAGGCACGGTGTTGTGCACTGTTACAGGCACGGTGTTGTGAACTGTTACAGCCACGGTGTTGTGTACTGTTACAGCCACGGTGTTGTGCACTGTTACAGCCACGGTGTTGTGTACTGTTGCAGCCACGGTGTTGTGTACTGTTGCAGCCACGGTGTTGTGTACTGTTGCAGCCACGGTGTTGTGTACTGTTACAGCCACGGTGTTGTGTACTGTTACAGCCACGGTGTTGTGTACTGTTACAGCCACGGTGTTGTGTACTGTTGCAGCCACGGTGTTGTGTACTGTTACAGCCACGGTGTTGTGCACTGTTACAGGCACAATGTTGTGTACTGTTACAGCCACGGTGTTGTGTACTGTTACAGCCACGGTGTTGTGCACTGTTACAGGCACGGTGTTGTGAACTGTTACAGCCACGGTGTTGTCAACTGTTACAGCCACGGTGTTGTGTACTGTTACAGCCACGGTGTTGTGTAATGTTACAGCCACGGTGTTGTGTACTGTTACAGCCACGGTGTTGTGCACTGTTACAGGCACGGTGTTGTGAACTGTTACAGCCACGGTGTTGTGTACTGTTACAGCCACGGTGTTGTGTACTGTTACAGCCACGGTGTTGTGTACTGTTACAGGCACGGTGTTGTGTACTGTTACAGCCACGGTGTTGTGTACTGTTACAGCCACGGTGTTGTGTACTGTTACAGCCACGGTGTTGTCAACTGTTACAGCCACGGTGTTGTGTACTGTTACAGGCACGGTGTTGTGTACTGTTACAGCCACGGTGTTGTGTACTGTTACAGCCACGGTGTTGTGTACTGTTACAGCCACGGTGTTGTGTACTGTTACAGGCACGGTGTTGTGTACTGTTACAGCCACGGTGTTGTGTACTGTTACAGCCACGGTGTTGTGTACTGTTACAGCCACGGTGTTGTGTACTGTTACAGGCACGGTGTTGTGTACTGTTACAGCCACGGTGTTGTGTACTGTTACAGCCACGGTGTTGTGTACTGTTACAGCCACGGTGTTGTGTACTGTTACAGCCACGGTGTTGTGTACTGTTACAGCCACGGTGTTGTGTACTGTTACAGCCACGGTGTTGTGTACTGTTACAGCCACGGTGTTGTGTACTGTTACAGCCACGGTGTTGTGTACTGTTACAGCCACGGTGTTGTGTACTGTTACAGCCACGGTGTTGTGTACTGTTACAGCCACGGTGTTGTGTACTGTTACAGGCACGGTGTTTGTGTACTGTTACAGCCACGGTGTTGTGTACTGTTACAGCCACGGTGTTGTGTACTGTTACAGCCACGGTGTTGTGTACTGTTACAGCCACGGTGTTGTGTACTGTTACAGCCACGGTGTTGTGTACTGTTACAGCCACGGTGTTGTGTACTGTTACAGCCACGGTGTTGTGTACTGTTACAGCCACGGTGTTGTGTACTGTTACAGCCACGGTGTTGTGTACTGTTACAGCCACGGTGTTGTGTACTGTTACAGCCACGTGTGTTGTGTACTGTTACAGCCACGGTGTTGTGTACTGTTACAGCCACGGTGTTGTGTACTGTTACAGCCACGGTGTTGTGTACTGTTACAGCCAAGGTATTGTGTACTGTTACAGCCACGGTGTTGTGTACTGTTACAGTCACGGTGTTGTGTACTGTTACAGCCACGGTGTTGTGTACTGTTACAGCCACGGTGTTGTGTACTGTTACAGCCACGGTGTTGTGTACTGTTACAGCCACGGTGTTGTGTACTGTTACAGGCACGGTGTTGTGTACTGTTACAGCCACATTGTTGTGTACTGGTACAGCCACGGTGTTGTGTACTGTTACAGCCACGGTGTTGTGTACTGTTACAGCCACGGTGTTGTGTACTGTTACAGCCACGGTGTTGTGTACTGTTTACAGCCACGGTGTTGTGTACTGTTACAGCCACATTGTTGTGTATTGGTACAGCCACGGTGTTGTGTACTGGTACAGCCACGGTGTTGTGTACTGTTACAGCCACGGTGTTGTGTACTGTTACAGGCACGGTGTTGTGTACTGTTACAGCCACGGTGTTGTGTACTGTTACAGCCACGGTGTTGTGTACTGGTACAGCCACGGTGTTGTGTACTGTTACAGCCACGGTGTTGTGTACTGTTACAGCCACGGTGTTGTGTACTGTTACAGCCACGGTGTTGTGTACTGTTACAGCCACGGTGTTGTGTACTGTTACAGCCACGGTGTTGTGTACTGTTACAGGCACGGTGTTGTGTACTGTTACAGCCACATTGTTGTGTACTGGTACAGCCACGGTGTTGTGTACTGTTACAGCCACGGTGTTGTGTACTGTTACAGCCACGGTGTTGTGTACTGTTACAGCCACGGTGTTGTGTACTGTTACAGCCACGGTGTTGTGTACTGTTACAGCCACATTGTTGTGTATTGGTACAGCCACGGTGTTGTGTACTGTTACAGCCACGGTGTTGTGTACTGTTACAGCCACGGTGTTGTGTACTGTTACAGCCACGGTGTTGTGTACTGTTACAGCCACGGTGTTGTGTACTGTTACAGCCACGGTGTTGTGTACTGTTACAGCCACGGTGTTGTGTACTGTTACAGCCACGGTGTTGTGTACTGTTACAGCCACGGTGTTGTGTACTGTTACAGCCACGGTGTTGTGTACTGTTACAGCCACGGTGTTGTGTACTGTTACAGCCACGGTGTTGTGTACTGTTACAGCCACGGTGTTGTGTACTGTTACAGCCACGGTGTTGTGTACTGGTACAGCCACGGTGTTGTGTACTGTTACAGCCACGGTGTTGTGTACTGGTACAGCCACGGTGTTGTGTACTGGTACAGCCACGGTGTTGTGTACTGTTACAGCCACGGTGTTGTGTACTGGTACAGCCACGGTGTTGTGTACTGTTACAGCCACGGTGTTGTGTACTGGTACAGCCACGGTGTTGTGTACTGTTTATTCTTCGCTGTAAAACGTCGGTGACATTGACCACCACAGTTGATTATTTTAAGTTAACTAACAGAATCTGACTTACAAGTACAATGTTCTGACACTTCTCTCATGTCTAGTTAACTAATATAAATCTCTAGTTTAATCTAACCAGGAGTGATTCAAACACCTTCCGAGAATATGTTTTTTTTTCTGTGTATTGTTGTATTTAAAATAAGCCATAGATTTTATTCTAGTCTCTTGCTCTGTGTCTCTCCTGCCCAGCAGAGCTTGAGTGAGGACTCTGCTGTGTGTCTGTTGCGTCTGCTTGTGTCTGCCGTTGACGACGGTAGTCTGCTGGAGTGCCGTGCCAGGGCGCCCACCCTCCCTCACCTCACAGCTGCAGACTCCACCAGACTCACCGTCCATTGTGAGAACACCACATTATTTTCATGTTTTACGTGAGGTGCAGGCTCGATCCTCCGTCCAGTAATCCAGAGAAACACACACACACACACACACACACACACACACACACACACACACACACACACACACACACACACACACACACACACACACACACACACACACACACACACACACACACACACACACACTACTCCCAGTTATAGTCATCCTTCATGACCCCTCATGCAGTCGATAAGATTTAAACCTAACAAAGCATCATCATACCTCGGATACTTTATTTACTCTTCTCTGGGAACTTATATTGGTTCTTACCAAACCTTCTTTCTAAGTACACTTTAATAATAACTTTCCATCTGTTATTCACGTATTACACTCCACACTTCCCTACTACACTCTTCACAGCTGGAAAAATTTAATAAATAAGCCACCTGCGCAACTCCTGGCTATCTTTATTGTATTGGGTATCTTTTTTATCAGCAATGAAGATATGCAAATGATGAAAATTTGTCTTATTCATCAGCTTGTCAGTAATGTCTGGCATTACTGTAACTATGTGTGGTGTGTGGATGAGCCAGGTGAGGATGCCAGCCACTCTGACCATCAGGATGCCAGCCACTCTGACCACCAGGATGCCAGCCACTCTGACCATCAGGATGCCAGCCACTCTGACCACCAGGATGTCAGCCACTCTGACCACCAGGATGCTAGCCACTCTGACCACCAGGATGTCAGCCACTCTGACCACCAGGATGCTAGCCACTCTGACCACAAGGATGCCAGCCACTCTGACCACCAGGATGCTAGCCACTCTGACCACCAGGATGCCAGCCACTCTGACCACCAGGATGCCAGCCACTCTGACCACCAGGATGCTAGCCACTCTGACCACCAGGATGCCAGCCACTCTGACCACCAGGATGCCAGCCACTCTGACCACCAGGATGCCAGCCACTCTGACCACCAGAATGCCAGCCACTCTGACCACCAGGATGCCAGCCACTCTGACCACCAGGATGCCAGCCACTCTGACCACCAGGATGCCAGGTACTCTGACCACCAGGATGTCAGCCACTCTGACCACCAGGATGCCAGCCACTCTGACCACCAGGATGCCAGCTACTCTGCACCAGGATGCCAGCCACTCTGACCAACACGATGCCAGCTACTCTGACCACCAGGATGCCAGCTACTCTTACCACCAGGATACCAGCTACTCTGACCACCAGGATGCCAGCCACTCTGACCAACAGGATGCCAGCTACTCTTACCAACAGGATGCCAGCTACTCTGTCTACCAGGTTGCCAACTACTCTGACCACCAGGATGCCAGCCACTCTGACCACCAGGATGCCAGCGACTCTGACCACCAGGATGTCAGCCACTCTGACCACCAGGATGCCAGCCACTCTGACCACCAGGATGGCAGCCACTCTGACCACCAGGATGCCAGCCACTCTGACCACCAGGATGCCAGCCACTCTGACCACCAGGATGCCAGCTACTCTGACCAACACGATGCCAGCCACTCTGACCACCAGGATGCCAGCCACTCTGACCACCAGGATGCCAGCTACTCTGACCACCAGGATGCCAGCCACTCTGACCACCAGGGTGCCAGCCACTCTGACCACCAGGATGCCAGCCACTCTGACAACCAGGATGCCAACTACTCTGACCGCCAGGATACCAGCCACTCTGACCACCAGTATGCCAGCCACTCTGACCAACAGGATGCCAGCTACTCTGACCAACACGATGCCAGCTACTCTGACCAACACGATGCCAGCCACTCTGACCACCAGGATGCCAGCCACTCTGACCATCAGGATGCCAGCCACTCTGACCACCAGGATGCCAGCCACTCTGACCACCAGGATGCCAGCTACTCTGACCACCAGGATGCCAGCCACTCTGACCACCAGGATGCCAGCCACTCTGACCACCAGGATGCCAGCCACTCTGACCACCAGGATGCCAGCCACTCTGACCACCAGGATGCCAGCTACTCTGACCACCAGGATGCCAGTCACTCTGACCACCAGGATGGCAGCCACTCTGACCACCAGGATGCCAGCTACTCTGCACCAGGATGCCAGCCACTCTGACCAACACGATGCCAGCTACTCTGACCACCAGGATGCCAGCTACTCTTACCACCAGGATACCAGCTACTCTGACCACCAGGATGCCAGCCACTCTGACCAACAGGATGCCAGCTACTCTTACCACCAGGATGCCAGCTACTCTGTCTACCAGGTTGCCAACTACTCTGACCACCAGGATGCCAGCCACTCTGACCACCAGGATGCCAGCGACTCTGACCACCAGGATGTCAGCCACTCTGACCACCAGAATGCCAGCCACTCTGACCACCAGGATGGCAGCCACTCTGACCACCAGGATGCCAGCCACTCTGACCACCAGGATGCCAGCTACTCTGACCAACACGATGCCAGCCACTCTGACCACCAGGATGCCAGCCACTCTGACCACCAGGATGCCAGCTACTCTGACCACCAGGATGCCAGCCACTCTGACCACCAGGGTGCCAGCCACTCTGACCACCAGGATGCCAGCCACTCTGACCACCAGGATGCCAACTACTCTGACCGCCAGGATACCAGCCACTCTGACCACCAGTATGCCAGCCACTCTGACCAACAGGATGCCAGCAACTCTGACCAACACGATGCCAGCCACTCTGACCACCAGGATGCCAGCCACTCTGACCACCAGGATGCCAGCCACTCTGACCATCAGGATGCCAGCCACTCTGACCACCAGGATGCCAGCCACTCTGACCACCAGGATGCCAGCTACTCTGACCACCAGGATGCCAGCCACTCTGACCACCAGGGTGCCAGCCACTCTGACCACCAGGATGCCAGCCACTCTGACCACCAGGATGCCAACTACTCTGACCGCCAGGATACCAGCCACTCTGACCACCAGTATGCCAGCCACTCTGACCAACAGGATGCCAGCAACTCTGACCAACACGATGCCAGCCACTCTGACCACCAGGATGCCAGCCACTCTGACCACCAGGATGCCAGCCACTCTGACCATCAGGATGCCAGCCACTCTGACCACCAGGATGCCAGCCACTCTGACCACCAGGATGCCAGCTACTCTGACCACCAGGATGCCAGCCACTCTGACCACCAGGATGCCAGCCACTCTGACCACCAGGATGCCAGCCACTCTGACCACCAGGATGCCAGCCACTCTGACCACCAGGATGCAAGCTACTCTGACCACCAGGATGCCAGTCACTCTGACCACCAGGATGGCGCAGCTACTCTGACCACCAGGATGCCAGCCACTCTGACCACCAGGATGCCAGCCACTCTGACCACCAGGATGCCAGCCACTCTGACCACCATGATGCCAGCCACTCTGACCACCAGGATGCCAGCCACTCTGACCACCAGGATGCCAGCCACTCTGACCACCAGGACGCCAGCCACTCTGACCACCAGGATGCCAGCCACTCTGACCACCAGGATGCCAGCTACTCTGACCACCAGGATGCCAGCCACTCTGACCAACACGATGCCAGCCACTCTGACCACCAGTATGCCAGCCATTCTGACCACCAGTATGCCAGCCACTCTGACCACCAGGATGCCAGCCACTCTGACCACCAGTATGCCAGCCACTCTGACCACCAGGATGCCAGCCACTCTGACCACCAGTATGCCAGCCATTCTGACCACCAGTATGCCAGCCACTCTGACCACCAGGATGCCAGCCACTCTGACCACCAGTATGCCAGCCACTCTGACCACCAGGATGCCAGCCACTCTGACCACCAGGACGCCAGCCACTCTTACCACCAGGATGCCAGCCACTCTGACCACCAGTATGCCAGCCACTCTGACCACCAGTATGCCAGCTACTCTGACCACCAGGATGCCAGCCACTCTGACCAACACGATGCCAGCCACTCTGACCACCAGTATGCCAGCCATTCTGACCACCAGTATGCCAGCCACTCTGACCACAAGGATGCCAGCCACTCTGACCACCAGTATGCCAGCCACTCTGACCACCAGGATGCCAGCCACTCTGACCACCAGTATGCCAGCCATTCTGACCACCAGTATGCCAGCCACTCTGACCACCAGGATGCCAGCCACTCTGACCACCAGTATGCCAGCCATTCTGACCACCAGTATGCCAGCCACTCTGACCACCAGGATGCCAGCCACTCTGACCACCAGTATGCCAGCCACTCTGACCACCAGGATGCCAGCCACTCTGACCACCAGGACGCCAGCCACTCTTACCACCAGGATGCCAGCCACTCTGACCACCAGTATGCCAGCCACTCTGACCACCAGGATGCCAGCCACTCTGACCACCAGGATGCCAGCTACTCTGACCACCAGGATGCCAGCCACTCTGACCACAAGGATGCCAGCCACTCTGACCACCAGGATGCCAGCCACTCTGACCACCAGGATGCCAGCCACTCTGACCACCAGGATGCCAGCCACTCTGACCACCAGGATGCCAGCCACTCTGACCACCAGGATGCCAGCCACTCTGACTACCAGGATGCTAGCCACTCTGACCACCAGGATGCCAGCCACTCTGACCACCAGGATGCTAGCCACTCTGACCACCAGGATGCCAGCCACTCTGACCACCAGGATGCCAGCCACTCTGACCACCAGGATGCCAGCCACTCTGACCACCAGGATGCCAGCCACTCTGACAAAGGATGCCAGCTACTCTGACCACCAGGATGCCAGTCACTCTGACCACCAGGATGGCAGCTACTCTGACCACCAGGATGCCAGCCACTCTGACCACCAGGATGCCAGCCACTCTGACCACCAGGATGCCAGCCACTCTGACCACCATGATGCCAGCCACTCTGACCACCAGGATGCCAGCCACTCTGACCACCAGGATGCCAGCCACTCTGACCACCAGGATGCCAGCCACTCTGACCACCAGGATGCCAGCCACTCTGACCACCAGGATGCCAGCTACTCTGACCACCAGGATGCCAGCCACTCTGACCAACACGATGCCAGCCACTCTGACCACCAGTATGCCAGCCATTCTGACCACCAGTATGCCAGCCACTCTGACCACCAGGATGCCAGCCACTCTGACCACCAGTATGCCAGCCACTCTGACCACCAGGATGCCAGCCACTCTGACCACCAGTATGCCAGCCATTCTGACCACCAGTATGCCAGCCACTCTGACCACCAGGATGCCAGCCACTCTGACCACCAGTATGCCAGCCACTCTGACCACCAGGATGCCAGCCACTCTGACCACCAGGATGCCAGCCACTCTGACCACCAGGATGCCAGCCACTCTGACCACCAGGATGCCAGCTACTCTGACCACCAGGATGCCAGCCACTCTGACCAACACGATGCCAGCCACTCTGACCACCAGTATGCCAGCCATTCTGACCACCAGTATGCCAGCCACTCTGACCACCAGGATGCCAGCCACTCTGACCACCAGTATGCCAGCCACTCTGACCACCAGGATGCCAGCCACTCTGACCACCAGTATGCCAGCCATTCTGACCACCAGTATGCCAGCCACTCTGACCACCAGGATGCCAGCCACTCTGACCACCAGTATGCCAGCCACTCTGACCACCAGGATGCCAGCCACTCTGACCACCAGGACGCCAGCCACTCTTACCACCAGGATGCCAGCCACTCTGACCACCAGTATGCCAGCCACTCTGACCACCAGGATGCCAGCCACTCTGACCACCAGTATGCCAGCTACTCTGACCACCAGGATGCCAGCCACTCTGACCAACACGATGCCAGCCACTCTGACCACCAGGATGCCAGTCACTCTGACCACCAGGATGGCAGCTACTCTGACCACCAGGATGCCAGCCACTCTGACCACCAGGATGCCAGCCACTCTGACCACCAGGATGCCAGCCACTCTGACCACCATGATGCCAGCCACTCTGACCACCAGGATGCCAGCCACTCTGACCACCAGGATGCCAGCCACTCTGACCACCAGGATGCCAGCCACTCTGACCACCAGGATGCCAGCCACTCTGACCACCAGGATGCCAGCTACTCTGACCACCAGGATGCCAGCCACTCTGACCAACACGATGCCAGCCACTCTGACCACCAGTATGCCAGCCATTCTGACCACCAGTATGCCAGCCACTCTGACCACCAGGATGCCAGCCACTCTGACCACCAGTATGCCAGCCACTCTGACCACCAGGATGCCAGCCACTCTGACCACCAGTATGCCAGCCATTCTGACCACCAGTATGCCAGCCACTCTGACCACCAGGATGCCAGCCACTCTGACCACCAGTATGCCAGCCACTCTGACCACCAGGATGCCAGCCACTCTGACCACCAGGACGCCAGCCACTCTTACCACCAGGATGCCAGCCACTCTGACCACCAGTATGCCAGCCACTCTGACCACCAGGATGCCAGCCACTCTGACCACCAGTATGCCAGCTACTCTGACCACCAGGATGCCAGCCACTCTGACCAACACGATGCCAGCCACTCTGACCACCAGTATGCCAGCCAATTCTGACCACCAGTATGCCAGCCACTCTGACCACCAGGATGCCAGCCACTCTGACCACCAGTATGCCAGCCACTCTGACCACCAGGATGCCAGCCACTCTGACCACCAGTATGCCAGCCATTCTGACCACCAGTATGCCAGCCACTCTGACCACCAGGATGCCAGCCACTCTGACCACCAGTATGCCAGCCATTCTGACCACCAGTATGCCAGCCACTCTGACCACCAGGATGCCAGCCACTCTGACCACCAGGATGCCAGCCACTCTGACCACCAGGATGCCAGCCACTCTGACCACCAGGATGCCAGCCACTCTGACCACCAGGATGCCAGCCACTCTGACCACCAGGATGCCAGCCACTCTGACTACCAGGATGCTAGCCACTCTGACCACCAGGATGCCAGCCACTCTGACCACCAGGATGCTAGCCACTCTGACCACCAGGATGCCAGCCACTCTGACCACCAGTATGCCAGCCACTCTGACCACCAGGATGCCAGCCACTCTGACCACCAGGACGCCAGCCACTCTTACCACCAGGATGCCAGCCACTCTGACCACCAGTATGCCAGCCACTCTGACCACCAGGATGCCAGCCACTCTGACCACCAGGATGCCAGCTACTCTGACCACCAGGATGCCAGCCACTCTGACCACAAGGATGCCAGCCACTCTGACCACCAGGATGCCAGCCACTCTGACCACCAGGATGCCAGCCACTCTGACCACCAGGATGCCAGCCACTCTGACCACCAGGATGCCAGCCACTCTGACCACCAGGATGCCAGCCACTCTGACCACCAGGATGCCAGCCACTCTGACCACCAGGATGCCAGCCACTCTGACTACCAGGATGCTAGCCACTCTGACCACCAGGATGCCAGCCACTCTGACCACCAGGATGCTAGCCACTCTGACCACCAGGATGCCAGCCACTCTGACCACCAGGATGCCAGCCACTCTGACCACCAGGATGCTAGCCACTCTGACCACCAGGATGCTAGCCACTCTGACCACCAGGATGCCAGCCACTCTGACCACCAGATGCCAGCCACTCTGACCACCAGGAATGCCAGCCACTCTGACCACCAGGATGCTAGCCACTCTGACCACCAGGATGCCAGCCACTCTGACCACCAGGATGCTAGCCACTCTGACCACCAGGATGCCAGCCACTCTGACCACCAGGATGCCAGCCACTCTGACCACCAGGATGCCAGCCACTCTGACCACCAGGATGCTAGCCACTCTGACCACCAGGATGCTAGCCACTCTGACCACCAGGATGCCAGCCACTCTGACCACCAGGATGCTAGCCACTCTGACCACCAGGATGCCAGCCACTCTGACCACCAGGATGCTAGCCACTCTGACCACCAGGATGCCAGCCACTCTGACCACCAGGATGCCAGCCACTCTGACCACCAGGATGCCAGCCACTCTGACCACCAGGATGCTAGCCACTCTGACCACCAGGATGCCAGCCACTCTGACCACCAGGATGCCAGCCACTCTGACCACCAGGATGCCAGCCACTCTGACCACCAGGATGCCAGCCACTCTGACCACCAGGATGCCAGCCACTCTGACCACCAGGATGCTAGCCACTCTGACCACCAGGATGCCAGCCACCCTGACCACCAGGATGCCAGCCACTCTGACCACCAGGATGCCAGCCACTCTGACCACCAGGATGCCAGCCACTCTGACCACCAGGATGCCAGCCACTCTGACCACCAGGATGCCAGCCACTCTGACCACCAGGATGCTAGCCACTCTGACCACCAGGATGCCAGCCACTCTACCCACCAACACGCTAAAATATGCCCAACCACTGAACTCATTCATATTTTTAAAAGGTGTTTTTGCTTGGTCACAACTACAGCACAACCCCCGCCAGAGAGAAATTCTGTAATGAGTACGGACTCACGTAAAGAAAGTTTGTACGACTTTCTCTTTGACACAGAATATTTAGCTCACTGAAGCTCTTGAACTCTCTTGTTTCTCTATCTCACATTCATCCCTTGTGCCTCAGATATGCTTGTACTTAATAATATAATTATTATAAGAATATTTCACTCTTTCGTGTCGCATGTTTTAATAGAGTGTTACTGCAGATGTGCCTGAGGCTAGTATTAGCATCACTGGTGTGGGCGGTAGCAGAGAAGCCGGTGTGGGAGGCCAAGCCGGTGTGGGAGGCCAAGCCGGTGTGGGAGGCCAAGCAGGTGTGGGCGACCTGCACGCTGGGGACTCTGCCACGCTCACCTGTACCGCCCGCGCTAACCCACCTGCCTACAACGTTACCTTCATGTTCAATGTAAGTTACATTCCCCTTTAGCCATGTTGAGTCTGAGTTACTTTCACGTGCTCTAATATTCTTTATAAGTCACTTTCACTTTTAGTCGTATTCAGTGTAAGTTTCTTTCACTTACAGTGAAAGAAATCTTGCAAGCAAGTGTTAATGGCGAATCCGGAGATACTTGTGTGACCAGTGAAAGATAAACATACATCCTCTATCGTCACTTATACAACACAGTGTAACATTAACATATATCCTCTATCGTCACTTATACAACACAACTACTTGGTAAAGTATTAACGTCGTGGAGTTGATAATGATTATAATAGCGGAAATGATTCTTTTGCAGGGTCGTACTTTGCAGAGGGAACATGTGATCAAGGACGGTAGAACACTCACCTTGCAGCACCTAACCTACAGGGACGCTGGCCTCTACACCTGCCTCGCCTCCAATCCTGAAGGTGACGGCCAGAGCAACGCTGTCACTCTCAACATTGCCTGTAAGTACCTAACCCTGTCAGTATGTACAGTCTAGCGGACGGAGGATCGAGCCTCTGTCATTCCTTGAGCTGAACGACTCACACGAGCTTAACGCTTATAAATAAATAAATAAATAAATAAATGTTTATTTTCTTGTAAAGCTTAGAATGTGTGGTTTATATATTTTAAATGTTGATTACAAGGATGGCTTCTAGCAGGCCTAGGCATTTCGGGCAGATTAATTATAATTCTTACTCTTAATTGACACAGGTTATGGAGCAGTAAATTTTAGTATATCTATTTGCACACTAGGTAGATTTATATTAATGAGGTAGTATAAGACATATAACAATATTACAATTAGTAAACTTAATGATGAGAATGATAAGTCTTGACATGATACACTGTTTTTATTAAAGTTCCTATATTGGGAGAGTTTATTAGACAAACTTAGGCTAACTTAAGATTTATTAGGCAATAGGTAGATTAGAAATTTTATGTTTTCAGTCATTTGGGTGAGTGTAAGTGTAAATTATGGGAAATCACAGATTTCGAGAGTAAGTCTATTTTGTTTTGGTTGTATTCATGCTACGAATACGTGAATAGGTGGTTTTAATGTAGTTAGCTGATGATGGGGTGTGTTAGGGAGATAAGATGTTTTTTAACGGTGGTTTTGATCATGGTGGTTGAGTCTGCAGTTTTAGAGTTTTCAGGCAGGAGTTCCTGATTTTAAGCCCTTTTATGCACACTGAATTTTTGTACAGATTTGGCAGGACACGGGGAATGTCAAAGAGATTATTGTGTCTGGTATTGTGTCTATGGGTCCTGTCACAACTATCAAGAAAGTGCTTTAGTTCAGGGTTAATATTGGAATTTATGGTTCTGTAAATGTAGCTTGCACAGTAGTAAGTGTGGATGTTCTGTACAGTGAGTAAGTTTAGATCTTTGAAGAGTAGGGGGGGGGGCAGGTGGGTTGCATAGTATTGGACTGCATGATAATTCTTACTGCAGCTTTTTGTTGGGGTATTATTGGCTGTAGGTATGTTGATGGTGTTGATCCCCAGGCACAAACAGCATAGGTGAGGTAGGGATAGATGAGTGAATAGTATAGTGTGAGTAAGGCTGATTGTGGCACGTAGTAACGTATTTTAGAGAGGATCCGAACAGTTTTGGATACTTTTTTGTTATGTGTTGGATATGGATGCTGAATTTCAGGTTACTGTCATGGTGTAGACCCAGGAATTTACCCTCATTATCTTTAGCAATAAGAGTATTGTCAATCACAATGTTCAGTTGTGCAACATCTGCTCTGTTACCAAACATAATATAGAAGGTTTTGTCAGTATTCAGTGTAACTTTATTAGCAATCATCCAGGTTATTATTTTTTGTAGTTCTTCATTACCAGTGGTGTTGAGTGAGGTAAGATTCACGTAAACAGAATAATAAGGTAAGAGTGATGGTGGTGGTAACAAAAGTGTAATGTTTACCTACACAATAAAACACCAGTGGAAAAGAGATGAAATTTTTAACTCCCACCTGGAGGTGACGAGCCAGTCAGCTGTTTCTTATTTTGTTTAACATGTCAAGTACCTTTGAGCTTGTGTTGTCATGATATATTTCCTGCTACACTAGACACGTATTTAACTTTTTCTTATTTGATTTTCCCCACTGGGTTTTAATTCTTCACAAGTCTTTCATTTTTCATTTTTTTCACTGACAGCATTTTAAGCTTTCAGTCTGTCTTATCACTGGCACTAACGTGCTATAAACCATTATTCCTTCTTATTAATATCAATAAGATAAACACATTAGCGTAAAAAAAAATACATCTAATTAACCCATATTCAGAAATCAATTCTGACCCATTACTTACAGTCTCTATGGAGATACACAAGTCATATTTTATTATGACTTAATTACCCTTTAAAATCCCAGCAATTTCTCAAAAATATTTAGTTCCACTGTGACCTAAATGCCATTTTCTTTACCAGGTCACAGTTGGACCGACCAACTTCCAGATGAATTTATAATCCGGCTTCAGTATTTTTTTTTTTTAGTTGTTGACGACAACATGAAGCCCAGAGTTAATGTATCATAGTTTTAATTGGCATAATAATTATCCTAGTTAGGAATTAATTTATTATCCTCCTCTGACTAGAGTTGTGACGGCCATTGTTTACATCTCTTAAATATGCCGTGTCACTACAAGATCATATGTAACATTTGTTATTGTAGTATATTAATGTATGCAACATTTATACAATAATACGTTAGTTTACGCAGCATTGCTACCATAATAAATTACTTTATACAGCATTACTACAACGATACTTTATTATATTGAATGTTGACTTCAGCTGATGTCTGAAGTAATTATGTTCACTGTACTTATACTTCTGTTACTCATTGTTAGTGCCATTGTTACTTATTACTTGAATATCTTCCGCAGATTCAAGCCCATAGTGTATATACACCCAGATATGTGTATCTCTCAGTGTATATACACCCAGATATGTGTATCTGTCAGTGTATATACGCCCAGATATGTGTATCTCTCAGTGTATATACACCCAGATATGCGTATCTCTCAGTGTATATACACCCAGATATGTGTATCTGTCAGTGTATATACACCAATATGTGTATCTGTCAGTGTATATACACCCAAATATGTGTATCTCTCAGTGTATATACACCCAGATATGTGTATCTCTCAGTGTATATACACCCAAATATGTGTATCTCTCAGTGTATATACACCCAGATATGTGTATCTGTCAGTGTATATACACCCAGATATGTGTATCTGTCAGTGTATATACACCCAGATATGTGTATCTCTCAGTGTATATACACCCAGATATGTGTATCTGTCAGTGTATATACATCCAGATATGTGTATCTCTCAGTGTATATACAACCCCAGATATGTGTATCTCTCAGTGTATATACACCCAAATATTGTATCTCTCAGTGTATATACACCCAGATATGTGTATCTGTCAGTGTATATACACCCAGATATGTGTATCTGTCAGTGTATATACACCCAGATATGTGTATCTCTCAGTGTATATACACCCAGATATGTGTATCTCTCAGTGTATATACACCCAGATATGTGTATCTCTCAGTGTATATACACCCAGATATGTGTATCTCTCAGTTTATATACACCCAGAAATGTGTATCTCTCAGTGTACATACACCCAGATATGTGTATCTCTCAGTGTATATACACCCAGAAATGTGTATCTCAAAGTATATACACCCAAAAGTGTGTATCTCTCAGTGTACATACACCCAGATATGTGTATCTCTCAGTGTATATACACCCAGAAATGTGTATCTCTCAGTGTATATACACCCAGAAATGTGTATCTCAAAGTATATACACCCAGAAATGTGTATCTCTCAGTGTATATACACCCAGAAATGTGTATCTCAAAGTATATACACCCAGAAGTGTGTATCTCTCAGTGCATATACACCCAAAAGTGTGTATCTCTCAGTGTATATACACCCAGAAATGTGTATCTCTCAGTGTATATACACCCAGAAATGTGTATCTCAAAGTATATACACCCAGAAGTGTGTATCTCTCAGTGCATATACACCCAAAAGTGTGTATCTCTCAGTGTATATACACCCAGAAGTGTGTATCTCTCAGTGTATATACACTCAGAAGTGTGTATCTCTCAGTGTATATACACTCAGAAGTGTGTATCTCTCAGTGTATATACACTCAGAAGTGTGTATCTCTCAGTGTATATACACCCAGAAGTGTGTATCTCTCAGTGTATATACACTCAGAAGTGTGTATCTCTCAGTGTATATACACTCAGAAGTGTGTATCTCTCAGTGTATATACACCCAGAAGTGTGTATCTCTCAGTGTATATACACTCAGAAGTGTGTATCTCTCAGTGTATATACACCCAAAAGTGTGTATCTCTCAGTGCATATACACCCAAAAGTGTGTATCTCTCAGTGTATATACACTCAGAAGTGTGTATCTCTCAGTGTATATACACTCAGAAGTGTGTATCTCTCAGTGTATATACGCTAAGAGATCAATTACAATTTTAGTCACCAAACCAACATTGACTCAGCTGAGGTATAGTGCGACTTTAATGACTAGCATTAAGTCCGTGAACTTTAAACTTAACTAATTTATACTGCTACATTATGAGAAAACCTCTCTCATAGTGATGGGTGATTTTTTTTTTAGTTTCAAGCCTATCGACTACACGAAGGCTCCATGATGCTTGTACTCCAACAGTGAAGAATTTTTCACTTCATCAAATTTCTCAGTGAGAAATACACACCTCTCCGTGTATATACACAGGCGCATACACACCTCTCGGTGTACGTGTAATAACACATACAAGCTAATGGTGTATATACACTGGCATGTACACACATCTCGATGTACATAAACTGACACATACACATCTCTGGGGTGTACATACACTCACATATACACACCTGTCGGTGTACATACAATCTTGTGTGTGTATGTATATGTCTTATTACCAGTCTTGGTCACCTGTACAGACAGACCTGTGTGTGCGTGGGAGAGTGCCAGGGAGGTGGTGGCACTGCCTGGGGAGGTAGTGGTGTTGGAGTGTCAAGTGTCAGCCTCTCCACCACAAGTCTCCTATACTTGGGAGACTATCTCCAACATCAACAAGGAGGAGGTAAATACAACTGCACGAATAACAGTGATTATGTGTGAGTGAGGTGAAAGTGTTGAATGATGATCAAAGTATTTTCTTTTTGAGGATTTCTTTCTTTTTGGGTCACCCTGCCTCGGTGGGAGACGGCCGACTTGTTAATATATATTATAATATATATATATATATATATATATATATATATATATATATATATATATATATATATATATATATATTATAATATATATATATATATAATACATACATACATACATACATACATATATACATGAGAAAGTGCTGAACCCGTAGGGATCACAGCGCCATTGTAATGGGAAGTAATTCGGTTTGATGCGAGGAAAGGGGGATGACTCCAGTTCCTCTAATCAAGAGCCCGTCAGCATCAACAAGGCACTCTGCTTGAAGGATCTACCGTGTTAATTGTGTGATGGTTTTGTAAGTGGCGGCTGACCACCATCAGTAGGAATATGTCACAATACCGGGGTTGGAATGATAATATGTCACAATACCGGAGTTGGAATGATAATATGTCACAATACCGGGGTTGGAAGATTAATAACTCAGAATGACTGTATCTGTCAGGAGGTTGGAGTCCCACTCTACCACGAGGATGACGGGCTGACGTCCATGGGGTGGCTGAGGGCTGACAATGTCAGCGGTGGCAGCCAGCAGGCACAGTGCCGCCCCAGCAATGCAATGGGTGTCACTCACCGGCCCTGTGTCTTCAACATTCTGCTAACAGGTCAGTCTTTCTCTCTCTCTCTATGTCTCTCTCTCTCTCTCTGTTTCTCTCTCTGTCTCTGTCTCTGTCTCTGTCTGTCTTGTCTGTCTGTCTGTTTCTGTCTGTCTGTCTCTCTCTCTCTCTGTCTCTCTCTCTCTCTCTCTCTCTTTTCTCTCTTTGTCTCTGTCTCTGTCTCTGTCTGTCTGTCTGTCTGTCTGTCTGTCTGCCTGTCTGTCTGTCTGTCTGTCTGTCTGTCTGTCTGTCTGTCTCTCTCTCTGTTCTTATCATTCCTATATTGCCAAGTTATCATCACTATTATGTATCCTCAGCATTGGTATTATAATTACTATTAGTAATTTATTATTTTTGTTATTATCATTATTGTTCTTAATTATTATTAATATTGTTACCATTATTATTTCCATTATTATCACTATTATTATCATTATTATCAGTTAGTTTAATATCTTTAATATGCACCCCAGACCTGTGGGTGGTAGTTAATACATTACAGAGGTACATAATGGGTCCAGGGACTGTACCTCAACATTACAGAGGTACATAATGGGTCCAGCGACTGTAACTCAACATTACAGAAGTACATAATGGGTCCAGGGACTGTACCTTAACATTACAGATGCACATGATGGGTCCAGGGAATGTACCTCAACATTACAGAGGTACATGATGGGTCCAGGGACTGTACCTCAACATTACAGAGGTACATAATGGGTCCAGGGACTGTACCTCAACATTACATAGATACATAATGGGTCCAGGGACTGTACCTCAACATTACAGAGGTACATAATGGGTCCAGGGACCGGGCCTCAACATTACAGAGGTACACAATGGGTCCAGGGACCGGGCCTCAACATTACAGAGGTACATAATGGGTCCAGGGACTGTGCCTCAAAGGTATGATAGCTGAACAAGTTACAAAGGTAATGAATCATCTACACGTCTATACGTGGTCCAGAAACTGGCTCCTAGAATTTAACCCCGCCAAATGCAAAGTCATGAAGATCGGAGGAGGGCAAAGAAGACCGCAGACAGAGTATAGGCTAGGTGGCCAAAGGCTGCAAACCTCACTCAAGGAGAAAGACCTAGGAGTGAGTATAATACCGAGTACATAGCCAGAAGCACACATTAACCAGATAACTGCTGCGGCATATGGGCGCTTGGCAAACCTGAGAATAGCGTTCCGGTACCTCAGTAAGGAATCGTTCAAGACTTTATACACTGTGTGCGTCAGGCCCATACTGGAGTACGCAGCACCAGTTTGTAACCCATACCTGGTCAAACACGTCAAGAAATTAGAGAAAGTACAAAGGTTTGCAACAAGGCTAGTTCTAGAGCTAAGGGAAATGTCCTATGAAGAAAGGTTAAGGGAAATCGGTCTGACAACATTGGAGGACAGGAGGGTCAGGGGAGACATGATAACGACATACAAAATACTGCGTGTAATAGACAAGGTGGACAGAGACAGGATGTTCCAGAGATGGGACACAAACAAGGGGTCACAATTGGAAGCTGAAGACTCAGATGAGTCAAAGGGATGTTAGGAAGTATTTCTTCAGTCATAGAGTAGTTAGGAAGTGGAATAGTCTGGCAAGCGATGTAGTGGAGGCAGGAACTATACATAGTTTTAAGACGAGGTATGATAAAGCTCATGGAGCAGGGAGAGAGAGGACCTAGTAGCGGTCGGTGAAGAGGCGGGGCCAAGAGCTGAGTCTCGACCCCTGCAACCACAATTAGGTGAGTACAGTTAGGTGAGTACATGATTACAATCATTAACAAATTAAAAATCATCATTATTATTATGATCATTTGAAAATATAAAGGTTGAATAACCTGATTAAAACACAACGTGTGAGTGTAAAACACAGTGTGTGTGTGTGTGTGTGTGTGTGTGTGTGTGTGTGTGTGTGTGTGTGTGTGTGTGTGTGTGTGTGTGTGTGTTGTGAAACAGTGAGTTTAAAACTCAGTGTGAGTTTATTTAGGAACAGGTACATATAAGTACAAACGTTTCACAGAGGTCATTCCAAAGAAAGTGGTTACTAGTGCCTGGTTACCATAGCTCCATTGCTAGCTCACTCAGCTCACCCATTGAGGTCCGGGGATCGATCCCCGGTATGAGTGGAAACATTAGGACATGTTTCCTTAAGACACCTGCTGTCCCTGTTCACCCATCAGTAAAATAGGTACCTGGGTATTAGTCGACTGGTGTGAGTCGCATCCTGGGGACAAAACTAACCTAATTTGCCCGAAATACTCAACATTAGCCAATTTAGTCAAAATCTAGGAAGTATGATAACTGATGCACGCATGAACAAAGATCACTTACTACTCTCAGGTGACTTCAATATAAATCTCCTGCAAGACCAGGACCCACACGTTACTGAATTCACAAACACAATGAATAACTGTATGTTACTACCAACAGTAACAAAACCTACAAGAGTTACAGAGACTAGTGTTTCCCTACTTGACCACATCTGGACCAACACCATATCCCCTTTAAAATCAGGCATAATTACAGATAATACCACAGACCACTACCCTACTTTCCTCATAACAACTCTTGGTAAACTACCCCAAGACACTACTAAAGTCACCTTCAGACTTCACAATGAGGCAGCCATTAATAACTTCACAACAGCAATAGCAAACATCGATTGGCACACTGAGCTAGAAACCTATACAGATATTGACGAATGTATTAATAATTTTCTAAAAAAGCCCAATACCTCTATAACAAGCACTGCCCTAAAAAAACTAAACAGATGACAGCAAAGAGACTGAACAGTCCCTGGCTAACACCCAGCATTCTCAAATCCATAAATACAAAACACCAATATGAAAAACAGTACAGAATGGGTCACATAACCAGAGACCAAACAAAACGTTACTCGTCAATCCTAACCAGCCTGATAAGAAGGGCAAAAAAAATTGTATTATGAGAACAGATTATCCAACTTACGAGGTGATATAAAAAAGACCTGGAAAACCCTATCAGAAATTCTGGGAACAAAAAAGATATCACGAAATAGCGAAATAAAATTAGCAAAATCAGATGAACCCCAACTCCCACCAACAGAAACAGCAAACAGACTCAATGATTTCTTCTCCACTATAGGACAAAACTTGCAATAAAATCCCAACCTCAGATACCCCACCAAATGACTACCTCACCGGCAACTACCCGAACACTCTGTTCCTAGCTCCGACTAACCATATGAAGTCTCCCTTATTATCAACGCACTAAAAAACAAGGCAGGAGATTTAAATACCTTACCACCCTTTATATACAAAAAAGTGTCACAAGTGCTATCACCAATCATTGCAACACTCTTTAACAAATCCATTGAATCCTCCACCTTCCCTACAGTACTCAAAATAGCAAGGGTCACCCCGATCCACAAAGGAGGAGACCAAACAGAGTTGAATAACTATAGGCCAATATCCAACTTACACCCTCTCTCAAAAATCTTTGAAAAATTAATTCATAAACGAATCTACTCCTACCTTATCTCCCAAAACATACTCAACCCCTGCCAATTTGGATTCAGGCCAAATAAAAATACTAATGATGCTATTATACACATGCTAGAAACATATATACACTGCAATAGAGAAAAAAGAAGTCCCACTGGGGATCTTCATAGACTTACGTAAAGCTTTTGATACAGTTGACCATGACTTGCTCCACGTAAAATTGTCACACTATGGTATAAGAGGGCACTCCCTCAACTACCTCAAGTCATACCTCAGCAACAGAAGCCAATATGTGTACGCAAATGGGGCAAACTCTTCTGCGCAACCAATTACAGTTGGTGTCCCACAGGGAAGTGTCCTTGGCCCTCTTCTCTTTCTCCTATTTCATAAATGACCCTTCCCCAAAAGCTTCGCAATTACTCAAACCCACACTATTTGCAGATGACACTACATACGTATTCTCTCACCCGAGCCCAGTCACGCTAGCCAATACTGTAAATACCGAATTACAGAAAATATCTACCCGGATGAGGACTAACAAACTTACATAAACATTGACAAAACCTACTTCATTCAGTTTGGTAACAGAGCTACAGATGTCCCTCTTAACATAATGATAAACGGATCACCTATCACAAAACTAACAGAGGGAAAATTCTTAGGAATCCACCTTGATAATAGACTCAAATTTCATACACATATACAACACATCTCTAAGAAAATTTCCAAGACTGTAGGCATACTATCGAAGATACGGTACTATGTTCCACAGTCAGCCCTCCTGGCCCTATATCACTCTCTTATTTACCCCTATCTCACCTATGGAATTTGTGCATGGGGCTCAACAACAATTAACCATCTCAGACCACTAATTACTCAACAAAAGGCTGCAGTTAGAATGATAACAAATTCTCACTACAGGCAGCACACTCCACCAATATTCAATACACTAAACCTACTCACCATACAAAACATCCATACTTATTACTGCACCTATTACATACATAGAACACTTAACTCTGATATTAACCCTCCCCTCAAACATCTCCTTGCCAACCTCAACAGAACACATGACCATAACACAAGGCACAGATCACTCTTTGATGTTCCTCGTGTCCATCTCACACTATGCAAAAACTCAATGCACATAAAAGGCCCTAAAATCTGGAATTCATTACCTGTAAATATAAAAGAAAACACTACCTGATTATAAATTCAAGTCTCTTCTCAAAGATCACTTACTCACCCAAAACCAAATAAATACTGAATAACTGAACCTTATAAATTGTATATCTTAAATGTTTCTCACAATTATATCATATAAATGTTAAACCTAAAACCGAATCTAACTTTATTATTTTTTAAATACACTACCTAACAGAATCACTACCTAACTGAATGCAACAATATGACCTGTCTTTGTAATACTCACTTGTGCTTTATAGTAATCTGTTTACATTAATGTTTTATCACTGATTTCATCATTGCTTAGTTAATCTTAAGTTAATTTTAAGCCAGCCCGTAATGCTATGCATAGTATAAGTGGCTTTGGCATACTGCTCTTACCTGTATTTTTTTTTGTACCTCTGTATGTGTGCACAAATTGAAATAATAATTGATGTCAGGTAGGCCTATATACCTTGTACATGGACTCCAATGGAAATAAATCACTCTGACTTTTTTGGGTTATCCCAGGTTATCTACACATATGCTGTTATGTATAATAATCTATGTAACTGTATTTGTGTATACCTGAATAAACTTACTTATTTACTTAACTAAAAATGATTTTATGGGCTAGTTTGTCTTAATTTATCAAAGAAAATATTCCTGTGGAAAGTACAGTTTTCTATACAACATTTGAAGGTAAACTACAGTGTTTTATTCACGTTGTTAAATATGTAATTATAGTTAAGCAAGTTTATTTAGGTACAGTGTACTATGACTGAAGATTTTATTTGGGTTATTAACCAGACGTGTTAGTATTCTAGGATAACCTAACCAAGCCACTATGTCTGGTTTATTAGTACTGGGATCCTTTGATCCTCTTCCCCAGGATGCTGTCCACACCAGTCGACTAACATCCATGTACCTACTTAATGCTAGGTGAACAGGGGCAGCAGGTGTATGGAAACATGCTCAGTGTCCACCCATGCCGGAATGGAACCCGGGTCTCTTAGATGTTAGCCGAAGACACTACCGCTTGCTCTTGTAGGCTGTCAGTTATGACCTTCCTTTGTTTTTAATTATTATAACAATCTTTATTTCTACAAGAATATGAGACAATTATTAAAATCCTAGCTGATATCACTGACACAAAGTGTCCAGGATCGATCCCCGAGCTCTCAGTGGGCGAACTGAGTACGCTACCAGCCGAGCCACAAGCTTCTACACCTGTACTGAGATTAAAGTCGAATTTATTTTCTTCTTATTATTATTTCTTATGCCAAATAAAAATTTAACTCGGATTAGGTGATTTAAAATTACCAGCTTAGGTATTTTTCATTCGTAGTTGATATTGTCCAGGCATGATACCTGGAGTTTACCTGAAGAGGGATTCGGGGGTCAACGCCCCCGCGTCCCGGTCTGAGACCAGGCCTCATGATAAGACAGGATTTTGTTCATATTTTTTACCCCGGACGGTTAGCCACCCAAGAACGTCTGTGCGTCATCGAGAACTGTCTGTGTTATTTCTGTTGTGATCCTTCAGTCTTTTTCTGAAGGATGCTACATACACCAGTCGACTAACACCCAGGTACCTACTTGCTTGCTAGGTGAACGGGGACAGCAGGTATAGAGAAAGACTCCCAATGTTTCGAACCACAGACACTGTGTATGAGGCGAGAGCGTTGTCTACCAGGCCACGGGAACTAAAACTTGCTTAACTATATTTTCGAAACAGTTTCATCACTTTAGATTATATTGTCAGTAAATACATGGAAATACACAGACTACAAAAGTGCAACAAACACTGATCATTGAAACAGAAGTCGAAATTTGCTTTAAAAATATACAGAAAAAAAATAATGGATTCAAAACTTCATTGTAAGCAAAGAATTTCGGGCATAAATCCACCCACGTACACTGAGTCTGCTGAGGAGGGCCTCAGTGTAAGGCAGAAATATCCAGGACTTGTAATATTTTCTGATTCATTGTCTCCTTGTGTAGTCTTGCGTGTTGTGCATCCACACACACATAAAAACATTATGCCGAGTCCGTACAAAGGTTTCAGAGTAGCCATGAGACGATCAAAGAGATGGCCTGTGGCCTGGTGGCACACGCTCTCGCTTCACACGGCGAACGTCCGGCTTCGATTCCCGGCGAGGGTAGAAACATTGGGCGTGTTTCCTTACACCGGTTGTCTATGTTCACCCATCAGTAAAATGGGTACCTGGGAGTTAGTGGACTGGTGTAGGTCGCATCCTGGGACTAAAACTGACCTACCTTGCCCGAAATGCTCAGCATAACGAGCGACTTTCTATATAGTAGTATGTCATTGATGTCAGCTAGGACTGTATACCTTGTACATGTACTTGTAGTAAATCAATATATTATTATATTATTATTGTTATGACCAGAGTGAGACCAGTCCTGACCAACACTCACCAACTCATTTAATAACGTCAGTTTTTGACGTTTTGCTCAATTTCATTTTTTAAACGTTTCGTATTTTCTCTGGTTTTTAAGTCAGGTTAGGTTAATTTAGATTAAATTTGGCTAAGTTATGTAAAACTATTAAAAGCGTATGTTTAACCACTTACGTCAGACGTATCATAGCCTAGAAAAACAGACTATGATGTCTGACAACAAGGTGATGGAGGAAATAAACGAAACGTTCAGCTTTGAACGTTCATTATCCTTGGTGCGAGACTGAGCCGTCTTGAGTAGTACTGATGAGGGGACTGGGGATCAGAAGCAATGCATGATGCTCCTCTGCTGTATGCCGTTTCCATTCTGACGTGAAGTTCACGCAGCTAACTCTCTAAACCATCTATTATAAGGAGCAACAAACCGACATCGGTTCTCTAGGTTAAAGAGGCTTGACTTCTCCCTCATTAACACCACAGACAGGTGAGTACACTTTTATTATAAATAAAACCGATAAATCACTAAAAATCTATTTCGTTTACTTTTCCCACCAGATGTAGACCAAACAATAATAATAATAATCTTTATTACTACAAGTACATGTACAAGGTATACAGTCCATAGCTGACATCAATGGCATATTACTATATAGAAAGCCGCTTGTTATGCTGAGCATTTCTGGCAAATTAGGTCAATTATGTCCCAGGATGCGACCCACACCAGTCGACTAACACCCAGGTACCCATTTTATGGATGGATGAACATAGACATGGTGTTAAGGAAACACGTCCTAATATTTCCACCCGTATTGGAGATCGACCCCTGGACCTCAGTGTGTGAGATGAGTGCACTAGCAATCGAGCTACGGGTAAACTCTGCTAAATGGACAATTGTAACATCTTGCGTCATTATTTATTGGTATGCGATAAAATTAATGAATTCAGAGACAACTCACGCAGAAATATTCAAGTAATATCAAAGTATTTTATTAACAGTAGTATATTCTCTTTCTCTCTCTCTCTCTCTCTCTCTCTCTCTCTCTCTCTCTCTCTCTCTCTCTCTCTCTCTCTCTCTCTCTCTCTCTCTCTCTCTTGTCTATCATTCTGGAAAAATGCTCTGACTTGCCGACTGTAAGTAACGTATTTCCACTTAAACTTTGTGTGTGTGTGAGGTAATTTACATCTGCGAAAGCAACTCATTACGACTGTAACAATGTGTAGACATGTAAATAGTTCATTACTTCTGTAACTTGTTCAACTATCAAAACTTTGGGGCCCAGTCCCTGGACCCATTATGTACCTCTGTAATGTTGAGGTACAGTCCCTGGACCCATTATGTACCTCTGTAATGTTGAGGTACAGTCCCTGGACCCATTATGTACCTCTGTAATGTTGAGGTACAGTCCCTGGACCCATTACGTACCTCTGTAATGTTGAGGTACAGTCCCTGGACCCATTACGTACCTCTGTAATGTTGAGGTACAGTCCCTGGACCCATTATGTACCTCTGTAATCTTTTGACTACCACCCACAGGATGGGTCTGGGGAGTATGTTAAAGTTATTAAAAAAAAAATTCTGCTTTCTTGCCACAGGAGAGCCGAGCACTCTGGTCGGTTGTTATTATCATGACGTCACAACCGACTCTGCCAGCGTCACCTGTTCACCTGGAACACCTTCCAGTCACCTTCCTGAGACCTACCATATTGAGGTGAGCCCCTTAGGGAAACCTCTTAAAGGACCCCAATGGAAATAAGTCACTTTGTCTGATTTTCTTGGGTTATCTCAGGTTCTCTACATATATGCTTCTATGTACGATAATATATGTAACTGTATTTGTGTATACCTGAATAAACTTACTTACTTACTTACTAAGGTAATCCTATTACCTGAGCTCCAACAGCAAAGAAATTTTGAGATCTGAAGGGCTCTCTGGCCTGATAGACCACTCAGCTCACCTGGAAATAAAAATAATAAAAGAACACATGAAACATCCAAAGCAAAATTAAAGAGAATAAACATTATCATCATCGTCACAAGACATAACCTGAGCTCCATAGGTCAACACTTAAGGTGAGCTGCAGTAGAACACAATATTGCTGAGGAGACGGGAACTTGCTGTGTACAAAAAAAATGAGATATGTGGAATAGGATGAGGAAGATTGAACGATATATATATATTATATATATATATATATATATATTATATATATATATATATATATATATTTATATATATATATATATATATATATATTATATATATATATATATATATATATATTATATATATATATATATATATATATATATATATATATATATATATATATATATATATATATATATATATATGCAAAACAACCACTCTGAAAGAATAGAGAAATTCCAAGCGCTTTCATGACTACTCACATTATCAAGGAACTATGAAAGTAAAGCATCCAAGGAAGGTATATAAGGGGTCTGGCCAACACCTCACTATCAGATCCCACAACGGTTAAACACCTGACGCGCGCCGGCCCAACTGGACAGGTCCTTTGCACAACCCACCAACAAACTATTCTACCGAAGAAAATTTTAAAAATTATTATTTGTCCAGTGTATTATTAAATTCTTCCCAAATTCTATTAATTATAAATGGATCTAATTAATATAAACCAAAGGAAATATTCATAGTATTGTCAAAACTGCTTTTTATGAAACAAGATTCAATTATATGTTTGTGGGTTGTGCAAAGGACCTGTCCAGTTGGGTCGGCGCGCGTCAGGTGTTTAACCGTTGTGGGATCTGATAGTGAGGTGTTGGCCAAACCCCTTATATACCTTCCTTGGATGCTTTACTTTTATAGTTCCTTGATAATGTGAGTAGTCATGAAAGCGCTTGGAATTTCTCTATTCTTTCAGAGTGATTGTTTTGCATATTCTGAAATCACCTGTTTACTGTGATCTTATTGCATATATATATATATATATATATATATATATATATATATATATATATATATAATATATATATATATATATATATATATATATATATATATATATATATATATATATATATATATATAAACACTGACCTCTGGCTGAAGGAGACTCGAACCTACGAACCTTGTTCCTAGGTTCGTAGGTTCAAGTCTCCTTCAGCCAGAGATCAGTGTTTGTGTATATTTCGCCTGCTCTTGCGAATTCCTTGCATTGTTAATATCTCTAGTAAGGCTGATGCATGCAGGGGATGAGATGAAAAGCTGTAAGCCTTCTCCCTGAAAGCTGGCTACCTTGGATCAAAGTCTAGCGCAAGCTGGACTCCAAGGTATTGGTCCAGTGTGGGTAGATTGGTAAAGCACTGCGTACCTTGTTCCAAGGTTCGTAGGTTCGAGTCTCCTTCAGCCAGAGATCAGTGTTTGTGTATATTTCGCCTGCTCTTGCGAATTCCTTGCTTATATATATATATATATATATATATATATATATATATATATATATATATATTTTATATAACAAAAATTCTATTTAAATTTTAATATTAGTGTAAAAATATGATAGGTGCATTTAGCACAGGTGTCACAAATGTGGATGGAGTCAGAGGTAGTGAAGAAGAAGAAGAAGAAGAAGAAGAAGAAGGAGAAGAAGAAGAAGAAGAAGAAGAAGAAGAAAGAAGAAGAAGAAGAAGAAGAAGAAGAAAAAGAAGAAGAAGAAGAAGAAGAAGAAGAAGAAGAAGAAGAAGAAGAAGAAGAAGAAGAAGAAGAAGAAGAAGAAGAAGAAGAAGAAGAAGAGGAAGAAGAACAAGAAGAAGAGGAAGAAGAAGATGAAAAGTTATCCAGGATTAGTAACGCTGGATGGAGGGATAATAACCCAGGATAATCCAAGAAAGCCATCCAGGATGACTTATTTCTACTGGGGCTCTCTCTAAGGCCCTCCCCCAGGATGTGACAAAGAATCGTGGACCAATTTTTAGGCTTCTATTTACTGCTAGGTAACAGAAGGTGTAAGAAGACTTGTCCACATACCTCGCCCTGACCAGACTCATCCCAGGTTCCTTCCAGATACTAATAGTCATTAATACACGTTTTACATGTAACGGAAAACTAATATACATTTTTTTTACGTAGCAAAACTGGATACATCAGCAGTTTACTGCTACCCTATTCTGTATGATAGTTACACAGTGCGAACAAAAGCAAACTATTCCCCTGTCATATTCCATCACACAGAATGGGACTCATACAAGGTGATGAAATCTGCCAGCCTGAGCTGGCAGATTTCAGTAGGGCAATAAGGATACCGTCAAGAATCCCATTAAGAGTTCATCACTAAGGGAGGTTCATAGGTGAGAGAACTCTAAGGTCCTTCCGGTGTAGCAATGTACAACAACCATCATATAAGTCATCACAGGACGAAATATTTACACTAGATCAAAGTGGTGACTTGTAGTTTAGTGGTAGAATACTCAATTCACAATCGAGAGAGTAGGTCGACAAATAGGTACCTGAGTAAGAGTTGGGTGTTGTGGGTGACATCCTAGGGAAGGACTCCAAGGGAATATGCTATATCTATTTGTTTACAAGGATTTTCCTGGCTAATGACCCTGAAAATTCTTCTTTTTCTTCTTCATCTTCTCCATATTACAGGTACGGGAGGCCTCCGAGGTGCTAGCAGTGTATAACAGCACGAAGCCCAAGTTCAACCTGACTTCGCTGACACCAAGTCGTGACTACGTGTTATCCATGTATGCTACTCATGCCAAGGGTCGCGGTCACCAGACCACACTACTCATGAGAACCCGCACTCCAATGGCTGAGCAAGTCGCACCTGAGAGAGTAGACCTACCTGTCACCTGTGAGTACTTTTGTTTTAAACAAAATCAGTAACGCACACAGGGTGTGGCTATCCTTTTCCATATGACAGTTATATTGTGGGAGCACCAGTAGTGTGTGACTACACTATTCTACATGATAGTTCCACTGTGAGAGCACCAGCAGTGTGTGACTACACTATTCTACATGATAGTTCCACTGTGAGAGCACCAGCAGTGTGTGACTACACTATTCTACATGATAGTTCCACTGTGAGAGCACCAGCAGTGTGTGACTACACTATTCTACATGATAGTTCCACTGTGAGAGCACCAGCAGTGTGTGACTACACTATTCTACATGATAGTTCCACTGTGAGAGCACCAGCAGTGTGTGACTACCATATTCAATATGATAAATAGTTAGTGTGGGGGAAAATTAACTATGTTTTCCTCTCATGTTCTGACATGATTGGTTTCATACATCAGGCAATAACATTTGTCAGTCTCAGCTGGGAGGTTTTATTAGTGCGATGAACTTATCGTCACAGATCTGGTCACAGACCTGGTCGCAGACCTGGTCACAGACCGGGCTGCGGGGGCGTTGACCCCTGAAACCCTCCCCAGGTTTACTCCAGGTAAATATTCCCTTCGCGTGGTTAGTAGTTTTACGTTCTACATTAAAAAAATAATACGTTATTGGTGATGCATGTAAACTAAACTACACACAATATGTGGAGCATGTAAACAAGAGACAAAAGCAGATGAGTTCCGACTCCAGTTTCTTGGTTAGTTGCGAATATTTCCAACGACTGTATTGTGGGTTTTGGTCTTTTTTAAATGCCTATTACTGAGGCCCTCTTCAGCAGAAAGAAAAGTACCTCAATTGTAGGCGGAAATATATAGTACTTGTCTTATCTTTTGCTTTGTCTTCGCATGGGTCTGTATTTGCATTAGTATATATTCCAGACAGATGAATTCATATATTTAAGGAAATTTAATGTTAGTTAATAATAATAATAATAATAATAATAATAATAATAATAATAATAATAATAATAATAATAATAATAATAATAATAATAATAATAAATAAATAAATATAGACTTATACAGTTGTGAGATTATGTACAACTTAAGTAAATCTTTGGTTTATCTGAAGCAGTGAAGAATGCAGGGAAGGATCTGGTGCAGTCTGCAGAGTCTCCACAACAGGTAAACAAGTGGAGGAGTGTGAGTGTGGGTGTGGTCGTGGGTGTTGTGGTGGGTATTGCAGTGGTAGTCACAGGAGTGGTTACTTGCCGTGCCCGCCGTACCCAGGCCTCCTTCTCTACCCAGACACAACAACGAACCTCTCAAGATCCCTTACTGGAACTACAAGAGGCCGGTCTCTCTCACGCCTGTACTAGACACCAGTCCTGTGGTAGGTCCAGCACTTCACTACAGTACAATGTTTTTGCCTCATTCAACTCAGTGTTCATCTCTTGTCTACATATATCTATATACTTCTTCCCCTGAGTGCACTAATTCTATGTTTCATGTTAGTTTAATACCTTTTTATGTACCACAGACACATCCTGTGGGTGGTAGTCAAAGATTCCAGAGACACATAATAGGTTCAGGGACTGTACCTCAACATAACAGAGACACGTAGTGGGTCCAGTGACTGTACCTTAACACTACAGAGACACACAGTGGGTCCAGGGACTGTTCCTCAACATTATAGAGACACATAATGGGTCCAGGGACTGTACCTCAACATTACAGAGACACATAATGGGTTCAGGGACTGTACTTCAACATTACAGAGGTACAGAATGGGTCCAGTGACTGTACCTCAACATTACAGAGACACATAATGGGTCCAGTGACTGTACCTCAACATTACAGAGGTACAAAATGGGTCCAGTGACTGTACCTCAACGTTACAGAGACACATAGTGGCTCCAGGGACTGTACCTCAACATTACAGAGGTACATAATGGGTCCAGTGACTGTACCTCAACATTACAGAGGTACATAATGGGTCCAGTGACTGTACCTCAACATTACAGAGGTACATAATGGCTCCAGGGACTGGGCCGCTGTTTCAAGGCCACAGGAAGATGTTACCACGTTATAATAATAATAATAATAATAATAATAATAATAACATCCAGTAGTAATTTCTTTCGTTTCTCATGAACATTATACGCCAGGTGACTAGGTTAAAATTTTAAATATTTAAAGTGTCATGTGTACACTTTCTGGAACATGTTTAGTCTCGCTCATTACTCTTCCAGTACTGTGATTTTATGGTCTTTTTTTATTCTTCGTGTTTAGTCTTACATTTAGTTTGCGTTTAATAAAATTTGATAAACTTGAATTTTTTTTGTTCCGTCTGGTTCTTGTCCATGTTTTTTTTTTCAATGTTTCTTTCTTCCACGTCATTATATTAATATATTTCTAATTTGTTTGGATCTCTGGCATGTCTGGGCTGGCAACACTTCCTGTAATGGCTCCAAGTTCTTAATATGTTTTTATATGACTCCGATACCTTCCTTCTGGTAGGTCTTTTATATTAAATAAACTGTGTGTGTACTCACCTAATTCACCTAATTGTACTCACCTAATTACGGTTGCAGGGGTCGGGTCACAGCTCTCCTGGCCCCGCCTCTTCGCTGGTGGCTACTAAGTCCACTCTCTCTCCCTGCTCTATCAGTTTTATCGTATCTCTTCTTAAAGTTATATGTGGTACCTGCCTCCACTACATCATTCTCCATATTGTTCCACTTCCTGACAACTCTATGACTGAAAAAATACTTCCTTACATCCCTGTGACTTATCTGAGTCTTCAACTTCCAGTTGTGACCTCGTGTTGCTGTGTCCCATTTTCGAACCATCCTGTCCCTCTTCACCTTGTCAGTTCCTCTCAGTATTTTATATGTCGTTATCAAGTTGTCCCCTATCCCTCCTGTCCTCGTGTCGTCTGATTGATTTCCCTTAATCTATCCTTGTAGGACAAACCCCCTCAGCTCTAGGACTAGTCTTGTTGCAAACTTTTGTGCTTTCTCTAGTTTCATGACGTGCCTCCCCAGGTGTGGGTTCCATACTGGTGCTGCATACTCCAATATTAGCCTGACGTACACGGTGTACAAAGTCTTGAACGATTCCTTATTAAGGTGTCGAAACACTATTCTTAGGTTTGCCAGGCACCCATATGCTACAGCAGTTATTTGGTTGATGTGTGCCTCAGGAGATGTGCTCGGTATTATACTCACCCCAAGATCCTTTTCCTTGAGTGAGATTTGCGGTCTTTGGCCACCTAGCCTATACTCTGTCTGCGGTCTTCTTTGCCCTTCCCCGATCTTCATGACTTTGCATTTGGCAGGGTTAAATTCGAGTAGCCAGTTGTTCAACCAGGCTTACAGCGTGTTCAGGTCTCTTTGTAGTCCTGCCTGATCCTCATCCGATTTAATTCTCCTCATTAACTTCACATCATCTGCAAACAGGGACACTTCTGAGTTTATCCCTTCCGTCATGTCATTCACTGTCATTCATGTATACCAGAAATAGCACTGGTCCTATGACTGTCGCCTGTGGAATCCCGCTCGTCACAGGCGCCCACTCTGACACCTCGTCATGTACCATTACTCATTATTGCCTCCCTGTCAGGTATTTTCTGATTCATTGCAGTGCTTTTCCTGCTATGCATGCCTGGTCCTCTAGCTTTTACACTAATCTCTTGTGAGGAACTGTGTCAAAGGCCTTCTTGCAGTCCAAGAAAATGCAATCTACCCACCCCTCTCTCTCGTGTCTTACTCCTGTTATTTTGTCATAAAACTCCAGAAGGTTTGTGACACAGGATTTTCCTTCCCTGAATCCATGCTGGTTGTCGTTTATAAGCTTGTTCTGTTCCAGGTACTCCACCACTCTCCTCCTGATAATCTTCTCCATGACTTTGCATACTATACACGTCAGTGACACTGGTCTGTAGTTTAGTGCCTTGTGTATGTCTCCTTTCTTAAAAAGATGACTATATTTGCTGTCTTCTATACCTCAGGTAGTTGCCCAGTTTCAATGGATGTGTTGAAAATTGTTGTTAGTGGCACACACAGCATCTCTGTTCCCTCTCTAAGGACCCATGGAGAGATGTTACCCAGTCCCACCGCCTTTCAGGTATCAAGGTCACTTAGCAGCTTCTTCACCTCCTCCTCGGTTGTGTGTATTTCATCAGCACTTGTTGGTATATCCCTTGTTGGTGTACCCCCACTATTCTGACTTTCCGGAGTCCTTTCTATCTCCACTATAAATACTTCCTTAAATATCTTGTTGAGCTCCTCACATACTTCTTAGTCATTTCTTGTGAGCTCCTCACCTTCCTTCCTCAGCCTTATTACCTGGTCCTTGACTGCTGTCTTCCTCCTGATGTGACTATACAGCAGCTTTGGGTCAGACTTGACTCTCGATGCTATGTCTTTTTGTACTGTCGATGGGCCTCCCTCCTTATCTGTGCATATACGTTTCTGGCTCTTCAACTAATCTCTCTGTTTTCCTGGGTCCTTTGTCTTCTGTACTTTTTCCATTCTCTAGCGCACTTAGTTTGTGACTCTCTACACCTTCGGGTAAATCAAGGGTTCGTTCTGGTCTTTCCATTATTTCTATTGCCCTTGGGAACAAACTTTTCCTCTGCCTCGTTGCATTTGTTGTCACATATTCCATTATTTTGTTTACTGATTTTCCTACCAATTCTCTTTCCCACCGAACCTCTTGCAGGAAGTTCCTCATGCCTCTGTAGTCCCCCCTTTTGTAATTTGGCTTTTCCCATCCTACTCCTGTTACCCTCTCCACTTGTAACATTACTATATATTCAAAGCTCAGAACCACGTGATCACAAGCTCCGAGGGGCCTTTCATATATGATGTCCTCAATGTCCGAGCTACTCGGGGTGAATATGAGATCTAATCTTGCTGGTTCATCCTCACCTCTCTCTCTGGTAGTGTTTCTAACATGTTGATGCATAAGGTTTTCCATTGTGTGTACTCACCTATTTGTACTCACCTATTTGTGGTTGCAGGGGTCGATTCATAGCTCCTGGCCCCGCCTCTTCACTATTTGCTACTAAGTCCTCTCTCTCCCTGCTCCACGAGATTTATCAAACCTAGTCTTACAACAATGTACGGTTCCTGCCTCCACTACGTCGCTTTCTAGGCTATTCCACTTCCTGACAACTCTATGACTGAAGAAATAGTGTGTGTGTGTGTTGTGTTATAATCATGAGCACTCATGTTACACCTTCCCCGCCAGAGCTACTGACAACGTTCTCGCCGGTACCTATGGTGATAACACAAGCAATGCCTATCAAGACATCTGGGAGAGCATCCACACACAGCGCCACGAGCGGGTCCTCATCTGGGGAACGTGAAGACAGCGGGGCACCCATACACGTCATAGAGCTTGAGGATGATAACACCTTAACTCCCAGAGTGGATGTTACATCCTCATCCAGCTTATCACTCCTGAGCACGAGAGATGATGTAATGAACGTTCACTACTTGCTGCCTCCTCCACAACTAGCACATCAGCAGTCCTTGTCCAGGACCGAGACTAGACCTCAAGAGAGATCAAGGTCAAACCCCCAGAAGCAATTATTATCTAACAACAACAATTATACTCAGTCTCATTTACCATCCCAGGATCTTACCCAACTCCAGCCCCTAAACACAACATACAATCTACGACCAAACATGCATACTATCAACGTACCTAACACTACTCCCAATATTCAGTTCCTCTCCCAGTTCCCCAGCTCTATGTCTCACTCTCATGTACTGCCATACATTACCACCATCACGTCACCTCAGTCTTACACTTCCACTTTACCCCAAGTTACGTTTCGTAATACGTTTCTACAACGTACAGGAGCCCCTCGTGCTGCAACCTCATACCAAACTCCGACTCCTCCACTAACTTCTGCTCTTATGGAAGTCACAACTCCTGCAAACGATGTCCCTCCTCCACATGACAAACTCTTACACCAAAACATATCACAGGCACGCCTAAATGCAGCAGGTTCCCGAAATAATACCTTACATGAAACTCCACTGAACCTAGAATCCTCTGAAGCGTTTCGACGATTTAAAGATAGTGAACCCGAGGTTAATGTTAGGTTCTATGACAGTGAACCTGTGGTTCATTCTAGATTTAATGAAAGGAAGAACGTTGCTCATTCTAGGTTCAATGAGAGTGAAGCTGGGGTTCACTGCAGATTTAGCGAGAGTGAAACTGTAGTTCAGTCCAGTTTCATTGAGACTGAACCTGCAGATAAACGAGAGCCCTATACCTCATCAAGGCTATATAGGCCTACACAGGCTTACACTCCAGTACTTGCACCCTCACCTACAATTATACACACTACCCTTGATAACCAAAATCACTTGGAAATGCTTCAATAAAACTTTTTAACTTTTCAATATTCGCGTCTTTTATTATCCACTTTGTTATGGAAATAGTGAGAAATTGTTTAGTTAGTTTACATAACAGACTGTTATTGGTTCACCGTCCTGGAAGACACGACGCTGCAACACGGTACTGGTTTTATCGCCTCAGCTTTGAAGAATTACCAAGTGAATGATTTGTTCTTTCATTGCAAGAGGGACTGATTACCTCAGTCTCCTTCTGATCTTCACAATTCTTCTTTGTACTGAACTGATGAAGCTACTGTATGGCGGAACGTTTCCATAATAAAGATACCAAGTGTCACACGTGTTAATTTTATCAACTTATCGGTTTCTTGAACCATTTATCTACATAGTCACTTTGTCTAACTTCTTGGGTTATCCCAGGTTCTCTACATATATGCTGCTATGTATGATAATCTTTGTAACTGCATTTGTGTATACCTGAATAAACTTATTTACTTACCATTTCGAGATTAAAAGTGGCATCTACACATACCATTAATACACCAATTACTCTGCTATGGAAAACTAGAGGATATAAAAATTGTTTTTTTATTATTATTATCACACTGGCCGATTCCCACCAAGGTAGGGTGGCCCGAAAAAGAAAAACTTTCACCATCATTCACTCCATCACTGTCTTGCCAGAAGGGTGCTTTACACTACAGTTTTTAAACTGCAACATTAACACCCCTCCTTCAGAGTGCAGGCACTGTACTTCCCATCTCCAGGACTCAAGTCCGGCCTGCCGGTTTCCCTGAACCCCTTCATAAATGTTACTTTGCTCACACTCCAACAGCACGTCAAATATTAAAAACCATTCGTCTCCATTCACTCCTATCAAACACGCTCACGCACGCCTGCTGGAAGTTCAAGCCCCTCGCACACAAAACCTCCTTTACCCCCTCCCTCCAACCTTTCCTAGGCCGACCCCTACCACGCCTTCCTTCCACTACAGACTGATACACTCTTGAAGTCATTCTGTCTCGCTCCATTCTCTCTACATGTCCGAACCACCTCAACAACCCTTCCTCAGCCCTCTGGACAACATCTCCACTGCCTCTAGCCTTCTCCTCGCTGCAACATTCATCACCCATGCTTCACACCCATATAAGAGCGTTGGTAAAACTATACTCTCATACATTCCCCTCTTTGCCTCCAAGGACAAAGTTCTTTGTCTCCACAGACTCCTAAGTGCACCACTCACCCTTTTCCCCTCATCAGTTCTATGATTCACCTCATCCTTCATAGACCCATCCGCTGACACGTCCACTCCCAAATATCTGAATACATTCACCTCCTCCATTTCTCTCTCCCTCCAATCTGATATCCAGTCTTTCATCACCTAATCCTTTTGTTATCCTCATAACCTTACTCTTTCCTGTATTCACTTTTAATTTTCTTCTTTTGCACACCCTACCAAATTCATCCACCAATCTCTGCAACTTCTCTTCAGAATCTCCCAAGAGCACAGTGTCATCAGCAAAGAGCACTGTGACAACTCCCACTTTATGTGCGATTCTTTATCTTTTAACTCCACGCCTCTTGTCAAGACCTCGCATTTACTTCTCTTACAACCCATCTATAAATATTTTTAAACAACCACTGTGACATCACACATCCTTGTCTAAGGCCCACTTTTACTGGGAAATAATTTCCCTCTTTCCTACACACTCTAACTTGAGCCTCACTATCCTAGTAAAAACTCTTCACTGCTTTCAGTAACCTACCTCCTACACCATACACTTGCAACATCTGCCACATTGCCCCCCTATCCACCCTGACATATGCCTTTTCCAAATCCATAAATGCCACAAAGACCTCTTTAGCCTTATCTAAATACTGTTCACTTATATGTTTCACTGTAAACACCTGATCCACACACCCCCTACCTTTCCTAAAGCCTCCTTGTTCATCTGCTATCCTATTCTCTGTCTTGCTTTTAATTCTTTCAATAATAACTCTTCCATACACTTTACCAGGTATACTCAACAGACTTATCCCCCTATAATTTTTGCACTCTCTTTTGTCCCCTTTGCCTTTATACAAAGGAACTATGCATGCTCTCTGCCAATCCCTAGGTACCTTACCCTCTTCCATACATTTATTAAATAATTGCACCAACCACTCCAAAACTATATCCCCACCTGCTTTTAACATTTCTATCTTTATCCCATCAATCCCGGCTGCCTTACCCCCTTCACACAACAGAGCAAAAAACTAATATGAAGGACCTGGGAGTGGTAATGTCCAAGAATCTCACTTTCTAAGATCACAATATCTGCTAGGAAAATGATAGGATGGATAATGAGAACCTTCAAAACTAGGGATGCCAAGCTAATGATGATTCTCTTCAAATCACTTACTCTCTCTAGGCCATAAGAATTAACAACTGGGCGTCTACACTGCAAACTCAATTGTTTGCAATCCTAATGGTGCTAAAGCTAACCTATGACACTGAGCTTGACTCTGCCATCATTACTGATTATATGTCATCACTAAATGCTCTTGATTCATATAATGACTCCAACAACATGCTCATTGGGGAAGCCAGGTAAAGATACTCAAAAATCAGGGACAAAGGAATTAATGTACAATTGCTATGGATCCCATCACACATTGGATTACTCCTTCATGAAAAAGTTAATATGTTAGCCAAGAAGAGTACCCAGAAGGAGAATGTAGAATATAACTTTGGTATAACTGTCTAGCATTAGGAATAATATTAGGAGAGAAGTAAATAATGAAAATGATTGTTAAAGGAATGCTGTTAGAAGCCTGAGTAGATCTATAACCCACTATGATAACATGAACATAGATAAGTATGTTTATGAAGCAACTTGCAATGTGAACAGACTGACTGATGTTGTAGTGGACCAGGCTTAGGCTTGGTTACAAGTACTGACTGACGTTGTAGTGGCCAGGCTTAGGCTTGGTTACAAGTACTGACTGACGTTACTTCTGGCAGTTTGGGAGACACACAGATGATGATCAAATTAAATGTAAATTATGTGATCAGGTATATTATCATTGTCTTGAACACTATGTGCTTAACTGTCCACTTATTGAGGAATAGAGAGATAGACAGTATAATAACCTATGTGACATGTCAAGATATCTTATTAATGAAAATAAGATACCAGATATACTAATCAAATTTCCTAAATTTGCATGTAACAGATAAGTGAGCTGTAGATATGTAGATAAATAAAAACCCATATGTACACCTGTTAACCCTTTTGGAGCCTAGTTCCTAGGCCTTTTATGTATCCATATGCTCTTGCGCTACCGTCCACAGGATGGATATGACCTGCACAATAAACTAGCCACTTCGGTGGCAAAATACAATCTAATCTCTAGGCCAGAATATTTCTTTACACAAACGGCCCCGTTCAAAGGCAGACGAAATTGCAGACCTGGAGAATATACAGAGAACATTCACTGCACGTATAGGTACAATAAAACATCTAAATTACTGGGAAGGGTTAAAGTTCTGTACTCCTTGGAATGCAGGCGAGAAAAACGCATGCTAACATACGCTTTGAAAATTTTAGAGGGATTAGTCTCAAATCTGCACTTGGAAATCACTCCCTACGAAAGCAAAAGACTCGGCAGGCAGTGCAACATATCCCCCCCCAGTGAAAAGCAGGAGCGCCACGAGTACGCTAAGACGCAACACAGTGTCAGGGGCCCAGGACTGTTCAATTACCTCCCAGCATACATAAGAGGAATTACTAATAGACCCCTGGCTGTCTTCAAGGAGCTGGACACCGAAAGTCAGTACCTGACCAGCCGGGCTGTGGTTTGTGCGTTAGTTTGTATGCGGCCAACAGTAACAGCCTGGTTGATCAGGTCTTGATCCACTGCGAGGCCTGGACACGGACCGGGCGCGGGGGCGTTCGCCCCCGAAACACCCTCCACATATTAAAAATTCCCAACAATCCTATAACAAAAGTATTCCATTTCGATTTTTTAAGCACATGCAATTTCATAAACTTGTTTGATAAAATTGGTAAATTGGCAGTTACACAGCCTAAAACCAGCACAAAAAATAATTTCAATTGAGATACACTGGAATTTAAGGTTTGAAGCCAATCAGAAGAGGCATTCTCTAGTTACTATGTGGAACAATTAATTCAATAAAATTAACAAATTGAAATTCACACAGTTCAAAGTGAACCCGAAACTTTCTTATAATAAAGCCCACCAACTGTGAAAGTTTGAAGCCGATCGGAAAATATATTCTCCAGCAAATGATCTGACTCCTATTCCAAATTTAAAATATATATATATAAGTAGAATTTCAAATTTGCAATGACTCGGAATAAACTTGAGCGGCATCATTCATATTATAGAATGTATCATCAATAATATTTTGGGGCTGATCAGAAGAAACATTTCTACTTACTGATTATAAATGAACAATATTTTTTTTCAATAAAATTGGTAAATTGGGACCTATGGCACACAGTAACATGGGGAACTTTGGGTTAATCACAACAGTCGTGAAAATTGGAACCCAAACACATGAGTCAGTCTCGAGTGAAGACAAACTATAACAATTTCAATTTTTTTTTCTTTCTATTTTATTATATTGACAAATCTGCTTATACACAAACTAAACTTAATTGGTACTACTCGAACAATAATAATAATAATAATAATAATAATAATAATAATAATAATAATATTCTTTATTTATACAAGTATATAATACGACTTATACAGATATAGCTGATTTACTGTAAAGAAAGCCCCTTGTTATACCTGGAGAGAGTTTCGGGGGTCAACGCCCCCGCGGCCCGGTCTGAGACCAGGCCTCGTGGTGGATCAGGGTCTGATCAACCAGGCTATTACTGCTGGTCGCTCGCAAACCGACGTACGAACCACAGCCAGGCTGGTCAGGTACTGACTTTAGGCGCCTGTCCAGTGCCTTCTTGAAGACAGCCAGGGGTCTATTGGTATTCCCCCTCATGTGTGCTGGGAGGCAATTG